ATTGTTGTTTTTTGTAAGTTTTTTTTTAATTGCTTATATGGGTGGACGAGCTCACAGCCCACCTGGTGTTAAGTGGTTACTGGAGCCCATGTACATCTACAACGTAAATGCGCCACCCACCTTGAAACGAAGTTTGGAACGAAGTTCCTTATGTGACGATGCGGAGGGGTACCCTAACCGGGAAAAAACGTCCGTAATGTAAGATTTTTATTAGTAATGCACACAGTCTACGACTTAACTTTGTAATAACGTACAAATTAGTAACGCACACAGTGTCGACTTAACTTTGTAATAACGTACAAAAAATAACATATTTTTTTATCATTCATTGACCACGATCTCAGAGCGTTCGTTTGCGCAATACATTAACTCTTATGCAAACAACCGTGAATGAAGTGTACCACAATAAGTTCGCACGTTACCGAATGACCGTGGGTTGTTGCGAAACCTCCAGTTTTATTTTCTTTATACCTCGAATAGAACTTAAAATTAATATTTTTATAATAAGGAACTTCGTTCCTATCCGGTGTCCCACGACACCACACATCTTTTTTTAAATTATTTTACTGTGCACTTTATATACGTCGGTATCGGTTTGTTTAATCCGGATATATTTTGATAGATTCCGGAGTAATCCGTGGCCGAATGCCAGCGGACTGATTGAAGGGGATGCCCCGAAAAAATTTAGCGTTATTGATTTCAGAAACAGCACGTCGAAGTCGTTAGTATTTTTTATTGCGACAGTTGATTTCACGGTCCAGTTGATGTTAAGTGTTAGATTTGATTTAAGGGCATAGACAACATAAATGTTACTATCGAAGAGGCTGTTTGATTTATTTGTATAACATTATATTAATACTCCTTGTATGTAAAGCGTTACGGCCAGTAGGAGTGGGTAATATCGGTTTTGCCGCGTATCGAATCGTATCTATATATCGAGGATCAATATCGGATATTGAATCTATATATTTTCTGAATCTATATATTGATGGATGCTAGTAGATTTTCTCGATTCATGATATTTGAGATTTGAAACGATACGCTGATATAATATCGTAGTAGATATAGATTTAAGTCAACGTTATACGGTTGGTTTTCTGATATCAATTTATAATATGATCTTAAAGTAATAAAAAGAACATGAAAATAAAAATATCAAAAAAACTTTCCTTCATGCTTTTACCAGGCTTAGGACTGGCTACATTATTTTCAGTTTTTAGTATTTTGTGTCTTAATTTAAAATTACAAAATATACCAAAAGAGTGTAGATTTCAAAAGTTTAATACAAACACAAGAAATAAACTCAATTATTTGGATTCAACTAAAAATAGAAAAATGTGTACTTTAAAAATCAAACACAAAAAACTTTTAAGTATTTATAAACACTTGTCCAAAAATTCTAGTTCAAGGTCAAAGCGCGTGAAATTAAATTCAACGATGCAAATAGGCTATACTGCATTCAAGTTAGGGTCGAAAGTTGAAACTTCTTTCCTTAATTGTATCCTGCTGATACGCTAAGAATAATCTACAGACATATGGACTTAAATATAAGGTTTACAATTGTATGGATAATGCCTGTTTCTGTTTCATTCATCACATGATATCCCTATCGTGCGCTCACTCACTCTGGCCGATTCGATACGAACCAAACGAATATTGCTGATATTAACGAATCGGTACGATATGCCGATGCGCATCACATCGAGCAATATCGTGTATCGGCTGATATCGAAATATAGATTTCGATTCACGAATCGGTCCGATATGGCGATGCGCATCACATCGAGCAATATCGTGTATCGGCTGATATCGATATATAGATTTCGTGCGGGGCGATATCGGATTCAACGATATTGCTGCGATATATAGATATTGAATCTATATACGATTTATATCACCCACTCCTAACGGCCAGTCACTGTCATATTTTTATTATTTTAAATATATTAGTCAGGGTCATAGAAAGTGCTACACAAAACACACGTATTTTGTTTCAAATATCAAGCCACTCAAAACACAACCTTATCACCTCAACAGAGGCATAATATTGAATTTCATTGCTTAATGTGTGTGTAACAAGTTTTTGCCCAAGCGTATCTAACGTCTTTGTTCGATCTTTTTAATTTCTTCTTAATTTAGTTCAAGATCCAGTGGTTTCCAAACTTTCTCAGTGTTTGGTTAAGCGATGTTCTCTAAATAAATAAATTGGGTTTGTGAAATGCCTACCCCACCTAATGGGATAAGGTGGAGAAAAAGAAGAGTTCAAATGCGTGAACAGAAATACCATCACTACTATAAAACCTTAAAACTCATGTCTGAAGTTGGGTGGCAGAATTGACATTGTAGATGGGATCCGATATCCACTTAAAACCAAGTGGGCCGTGAGCTCGTCTACCCATCTAAGCAATACGTAAAGGGTAAGCCAATCTTGGAAGTATCAGTTGTGAGTTGTTTTTTATTTATTGCTTTGATGGGTGGCCGAGCTCACAGCCCACCCGGTGTTAAGTGGTTAATGGAGCTCATAGACATCTACAACGTAAATGCGCCACCCACCTCGAGATATAAGTTCTAAGGTCTCAAGTATAGTTGCAACGGCTGCCCCACCCTTCAAACCAAACCGTACTGCTTCACGGCAGGAATAGGCAGGGCGGTGGTACCTGCTCGTGCGGACTCACAAGAGGTCCTACCACCAGTAAATTTTGGCTGTTCCACTCTTAAATACGTCAAGCACGATTATTTCGGGGCATAAATCGAGAGAATAGTGTTTGTTACCTACCCGCGCACATAGGTAAATAAAAGTAATTCATTAGATCTAATGTTTATTTCAATTACTTCAGTGCACCATCAAGATTTTTATCTATTTATTTGGGTAACTAACAGCTCAAAACATACATATAATATATTAATAACAGGTAAATAATAACCAAACAAGTTACCACCATCAACTTTACGTATGAGTAGATAGTGAACAAGGAAAACATAAATTTATAAATAAATAAAAAGGTTTATATAATGATTTTTTTTATATTTTTTGCGCACAAAGAACAATAGGTGCTACGGCCTTCAGTAAAACAAAGGAAGTCAGTGCAGTAAAGTTAGTTCTTTACATAGAGGTCGTTATCACATCAGTGTGCTTAGTGAGAGTTTTTTAACGTTTTCGATAGCGTAAAAGTTAACTCAATTTTTTTGAATTCCAACAAATTTCAAGTCCCAACTCCGTACAAATTTGAGATAACTTTTACGCTATCGAGAACGTTAAAAAGCTCACACTAAAGCTCTAAGCTAGCACTAAGCTCAGACTAAACACACCGGAAAGTTACTGCACTAGTATGTTCAGTTTTATAAATTTTATCTTAATTTATTTCAGAACCTTAGTTTATAACCCAAGTTGCTTCGAAACTATCTAAGTTTTTGATTATAACTATGTGACCTTAGATTAGTTGTGAATGTGGCTGGCTATCCAAACCTCTTAAGCCTAGATCTAAGAAACTACAATTGAGCTCTTAACTATCATCGGCTTATATTTCTGTCCCTTTTATAAGAAAGTACTTGCTAATTGGCTGTTTCAAGGCAAATGCGCCGAAGATCTATTTAGATATCTTAACCACATGTACACATTAAATACTTTTTAAGTGTATCTAAAAACTACTCAATTATTTTACAGTAAGTGCTGTGTATTTTCCTAACACATCTGTTTTCTGCTTATCACACATATGCTTAGCAAAAGTCACATTTTCATGTGACAACCGCGTTTCTTCTTCAACAAAAAATTGTACTTATAGTAAAAAAAAAATACAGTAAAAATATTTTTCATTCATAGATTAATTAGTGTATTTGGATAAAATTTCTACAAAAAAGTGAAAATTCCGAAAATTTCGATTGTAAGACAGATTCATCCGATACTGCCGAGACGGCCGTCTGGTGTAGTGGTAAGTGACATGGTCACTACACAAGGGGGTCGCGGGTTCGAATCCCGCCAAGGGAGGATATTTGTATGATAAATATAAAAATGTCTTTTCCAGGGTTATGGATGTATATTAAATATATGTATGTGTATAANCGCCAAGGGAGGATATTTGTATGATAAATATAAAAATGTCTTTTCCAGGGTTATGGATGTATATTAAATATATGTATGTGTATAATAAAAATATTACATTTATTTCCGTTATCTGGTACCTGTAACACAAGTTCTTTACGAACTTACCACGGGACCAGTTAACGTGGCGTGATTTTTAGTAAATATTTATTTATTTATTTATTACTGCACATCTCTCAATGTGAGTCAGTAAATTTGTTATTGGATTATTTCTCTCCGTTGTACATTGTTCAGTAACTGAACGTAAAAATCAGCGAGCGACATCCGCCATATCACCAACCTTCTTTCAAATCTGGCTGCCAAGAGCAACGCATCTATTTAAGTAAGTCTTTATTTTGTCATATAAAGATCTGGTGGTAGGACCTCTCGTGAGTCTGCACGGGTAGATACCACCACCCCGCTTATTTCTGCCGTGAAGCAGTAATGCGTTTCGGTTTGAAGGGTGGGGGGCAGCCGTTGTAACTATACACGAGACCTTAGAACTTATATCTCAAAGTGGGTGGCGGATTTACGTTGTAGATGTCTATGGGCTCCAATAACCACTTAACACCAAGTGGGCTGTGAGCTCGTCCACCAATCTAAGCAATAAAAAAATGTACAATAAATATCTCAAACAATACAGTCCACGCTCAATTAGAAGAAGAAGAAGGGTCGTCGTACCCCCTTTCGGGGGCACGGAACGGGCCTCGGGGCAAACCCCACTAACGCTCAATTACCACAACGCAACTGATATTCATTCCGTTCGTATTGTAGAAATTGACTCTCCGCCAAGCGTTGTGGCCTAGCACGGGTCCGGGCTTTGTGGAGATTGAAAAAAGCACTTTCATACGGTCGATGTGCATCAAGCATTGTTAATAATATAACTTAAATACATCCAGTTTATTTATATTTTGAATTTAATTATTTTTTCGTTTCTGTACTTCATTTTGAAAATGATTCTGTAACAAAATAAATCTTACTTTACATTACTTTATACCAGAATTGAGGCCGACAACGCAAAAGTGGCCTAAGCTTAACTAAGTTATTAGTATGGAGGCAATCAGGTTTGAATTTTCATGAATTTGAATTTGAGTAGGCAAAAAAACAATACGTGCAGAAATAATTTTTACAAAGCTATCTGTTATCTATGGGTGAAACTATGGATAGGCCGGTTTTGCATCAAAATTTATTATATTTTAAATAAATTCCAATATACGTCATATAAGCTTAACTATAAAAAAATGTGGGATAGGCTACTTTTGCGCACGGGCTGCCGTACCGAGACGGCCGACGTTTCAGAGCCTTCGATTCGCCTCGAGGGCTCCGTCGGCTGGGCGTCCTTGGGGTGAGCTGCGCTGTCTGGTTGTAGTGTTGACCACGGTAACCTACCTCATCCCTACCTCATCCGCCCTCGGAGGGGATCGGACATCGGGTGTAAGAGTGCACGGGAGTCGTTTAGTGGGTGGGCCCTAAAATCCTTGGGCCCGCGGTCTGCTCACAACACCATGCAGATCGTTGAGTCTCACATACCCCGCGCGCCCCTTTTGCGCGGGGACCTCGTAGGAGGTTCGGCCCCCTACCCGAAAAAAAGAAAGAAAAAAAAGGCTATTTTTGCGCTGATGGCCTCAATTTATGACTATGGGCAATATTATCGTCCAATTTCACCATATTGCGGGTACTCGTATAAAATGTAGGAAGTTATGGTTTTAATAGATGATTATACGGCCAGCATACCATCATCAGCAGCTAAATAGCACAGGACTTAGACTAATATATAATAGCACACAGACGAGAGATGATCTGTAACGAATTTGACAGGAAAGATGATTTTTGAATTACCTTTCCACAAACATGATGATTGTCGCCAAAATATATCCAAAAGCAAGCAGCATAAAAGCTGGTGCAGCTCCTCCCAGGGCCAGGGCTCGTGGGGAGCTTCCAGCGCACGTCACGTGTTTAGATTCCATTCTCTTTGTGACACAATCTATAATGCCACGTTCCTGTAGTCTCATTAGGCTGAAACATTCAAGATAAGAGATGCTTTAAATGGTTCGTCCGTTTTTTTTTTATTGCTTAGATGGGTGGACGAGCTCACAGCCCGACCTGGTGTTAACTGGTTACTGGAGCCCATAGACATCTACAACGTAAATGCGCCACCCGCCTTGAGATATAAGTGGCCACATGAGGTCCTACCACCTGTAATTACGCAAATTATATTTTTGCGGGTTTGATTTTTATTACACGATGTTATTTTCATTCACCGTGGAAGTCAATCGTGAAAATTTGTTAAGTACGTATTTGTAGACGTAGTCATTTGATACTTGAATCTTATAAACACTAAGCTCGAGGATGCTCAAGAGTGAGCTCATACCAAGACCATAAGAGCTTGATACAATTGCATATAGTTTGCGCCTGTCTTAACGATTAGCGATTCCGATCCTACGGTATATTCCGCAAAGCAATGCTCTTGATAGGGCTAATGTTAGTAAAGTCTCTTGGCTGGGCGCTGAGAGTTCGCCTATACGTCGGATGAAGCCAGGATAACCCCTCGAGGCTAGTAGCAATAGGTAGGCAACAAAAAGGAAATTAATAATCGATTTGTTTTGGTTCGAGGGTAAATTATCCTAATTATAGGTAATCCGGCCTCCACGGTGTTTTTGCCGAGCACTACGATATGTCCTTCTTCAAACGAGGCTTGTGGAGTGTACTTGACGGTAGGGAGTGGCTTGGCTCTGCCCCTGGGCTTACTGAAGTCGATGGGCCACGGTAATCACTCACCAAAAAATTAAGACGTTTACCTCAAAGCTTAAGTCGAGTTGGTTGACTTCGTGATCTACCATTATCCTGATTTTTTTTTCCTAGCATAAAGTACCTCCAATCGAAGAACTTCTTGTAAGGGCTTTGCTTCTGTACACATGCATAAACGTTGGTTTTTTCTATTGACTGTAAAGACCCCAATTCACAGAGCTCAGTCTGTGTAAACGTCTTTGATATAAGATCGTTGGCGCTGTTCACTTCTGTGTGGTATGCGTACCCTGGAAATTAAATCGATTGTGAGGGCAAAAAAAAACAAAATTTCAATAGTGAAAATATGTGAAGTAAAAACTTTATGCCCCTTTTTTACGAAAATTGCGCGGACGCACGAGTATTAAATTTTCCACACTTATAGAGAACACAGAAAATCAATTTATTAAATCAAGAATATAGAAAATCAATTTATTAAATTAATTAAAAAAATATTACACACATTACCATGTGTTTGATATACACACACGCATACATATACTTTTGTTTATTGCTAAAGTCTGTGGTCAAATTGAGAATAGATGAAAATTGTTTGTCTTTAATATTATTTGTTTAAAGTGTAGCCTTGGTGAAATCTGTGATTATTAGAAGTCTATTAGTCTTTGACACTAGAAGCATAATAATGTTCAAGCTTATAGTTTCAGTTATAGACGAATTTCGACTACTGGAGGACCACTGGTATGTATAAATATATCAAAGTGCGACTCGTGATGTGTATTGTTATGTTTCTGTTTTTATGTTTATTTTTCAGTGTACCACTTCTTCTGCTTCTTTGTCTCCATCTTATCTTAGATGGGGTCGGCATAGCGAATTTTTCTATTCCATTCTCTTCTATCAGACGTCATCTCAACACTCACTCCTCTCTCTCTCATATCGTCATTCACATACTCATCCATGTCTTCTTCGGTCGACCTCTTCCCCTCTACCTTGCACTACCATTTCCATTCGTCTCCAAGTCACATGCATCTCCTCTCTACGCATCACATGCCCTTTTCAGTGACCGCTCTAGGTAATTAATTTATTTGCTGTTAAGTTCACCTCCCGCTTTCACCATAGCAATCCCTTCCTTAACAGATTTCAGCAAGGGAGCCCCTTTTTTCTTGTTGAAAACTTTCTTCTGACGTATTTCGTCTTCGATTTTGGCGTTACGTTTGTTGTAATAATACATTGGGTTCTGAAAATAGATGGAATAATTAAAAAATAACAAACATCTGCATCATTAAAGATTTTCATCATCAACAACAGTCTGTTTTGTGGTGTTTTACCTTGATCTAAGAAAGGGGGACTGGTTTTTGGTGAGGATTTTTAGTTTGAAGACAGTTTTTTTATTGCCCTTGTAGGTAGACGAGCGTACAGTCCACCTTATAGTGAGTGGTTACCATCCCATACCACCCATGGACATCACTAATGCCAGAGGCAGAGCCAAGCCCCTGCCTATCGTTACTGGAGCTAGATCGTAGTGTGAGCTTGTAGAAGGTAGGTACCGTCTTGCACATTTCCACTGTGAAGTATTTATCCGTTCCATTCAAAGAAACAACATACTTCGATCACAGGCAGCGGCATCTACATTTTAATGTCCCTATATGGATCCTTCACCACCACCATAGTAAAAAAAATCGGTGAAAAGACACAGCCAAAGGGCCGAATACGCTCTGGAAGCTTCGTTTGAAGAAGAACACGTCTTAGCACTCAGGAAACATTGACGAGTGGAGTTGATTCTAGATGTTACGTGGCAGAAAAGATCTCTTGAAGCTCACTGTCGATGAACGCAGTGGTCCAGTTAGCACAGATGAAATCTGCTGCCGTAGCCGACGTTGCGATGGTAGAAACGAGATCATGAAATCGTTCTCAAATAATTCCTCAGAGCACTCCTGGAACTTTTTTTTTATCGCCTAGACGAGTGAACGAGCTCACAGCCCACCTGGTGTTAAGTGGCTACCGAAGCCCACAGACATCTACAAAGTAAATGCGTCGCCCATCTCGAGATATAAGTTCTAAGGTCTCAAGTATAGTTACAACGGCTGCCTCCACCCTTCAAACCGAAACATATTATTGCTTCACGGCTGAAATAGGCAGGGTGGTGGTACCTACCCGCACGGACTCACAAGAGTTCCTACCACCAGTAAACAAGAGGTCCTACCATCAGTAAAAAATTATTAACACTTTTATTAACACTTTGCCTGCGGCAAGTAAAACCATAAACTTTCATCTGGTGGGTCGAAATGCGCCCCCAACGATGTTTCCACCAGCGCATGGCAGGTCTTTCTCGACCCACCAGCACTAGGGTAGATTAAAACGCTCTAAATTTGCGAAAATATATATACAAATACCCGAAATAATCGGTCCGCACTAGCAAGAGGGACATAGTTTTCTTCGTCCACACCAGCTCAAAATACATGAGCTGAAAGATATGAGTCTGTTCCGAAGCGAAGATGTTAAACATATTGCAAAAAAATACCTGTAGCCAAGACTTAGTGTATCCGACATCCTCGTAAATAAGCTCAAGCGGGCTTTCCAATAGTTCTCTCAGAGAGTTTATGGAAGGTGGTGGCCCGTTGAGGAGCCAGCTAACCACGCTACTGGTGTAGAAGTTGTAGACAAGCACGCAGGACATACCGGTGACTAGGATAATAAGTTTACGAGCTGTAAGTTAATGATCGAAAATGTATAGTATGTATATATATAGTATGTATGTATAGTAAGTACCGGTGGTAGGATCTCTTGTGAGTCCGCACAGGTAGGTACCACCACCCTGCCTATTTATGCTGTGAAGCAGTAATGCGTTTCGGTTTGAAGGGTGGGGCAGTCGTTGTAACTATACTAAGACCTTAGAACTCATATCTAAGGTGGGGGGTGGCATTTACGTTATAGATTCCTAGGGGCTCCGGTAACCTCTTAACATCAGGTGGGCTGTGAACTCGTCCACCCATCTATGCAATAAAAAAATAAAAACCTTGAACATACTTAATCTACTCGAAGTAACTGAAAAATATCCTTTATTTTAACATATCATTCATGATCATAAAGTTAGTTGACGATTTATAGTGACTTCCAGAACGAAATTGTACTTGAATTGAAGCAAATCTTACCTCCAGAGATTCTTCGACCTTCAACATCGTCCGTGTCTTGAAAAACTGTAAACAAAACCTAGAAATCATATAGAAGCTACAACTACATAGGAGTGGAATAATAATAATAATAAATAAATATTTACTAACAATCACGCCACGTTAACTGGTCCCGTGCTAAGTTCGCAAAGAACTTGTGTTACGGGTACCAGATAACGGAAATAAATGTAAGATTTTTGTAGTGACCATGTCACTTACCACTACGCCAAACGGCCGTTAATGAATTAAATTTATTTACCACGTATTATTTACAGTGCGGGAAAAATTAACTATCTATGTAGGTACTGCTCTGTTAAAAAGGTTAGATTTTGACTACAACCGATTCCTATTTGTATAATTACGTACGCTTGCGTTCAAGAGTTGCTTAAGAAAGAAAATGCAGGGTGGAATTATCAAATCAGATAAGGGAGGGTACAAACTACACGAAATGTTTACCGGCACATTTCGTTGAGATACTTCCTCAATTTTGGTAGAACCCGAGAAAGTTTGAAGGTTCCGGTGACCACTTTAAGCCTGACGGGCCGTGAGCTCGGTCTCTCGTCTACGCAATAATAATAGTTATTTGTGCAACAAGAGAGCAAAGTAGTTTTTTTTTTTCGAGTGCTAATTTTGAGTCCCGAGCAAGCGAAGGATTCTTGATTCAAAGTTAGAATCCTGAGCGTAGTGAGGGACTCAACAGCACGAGATGCAAAAAACTTTGTTCTCGTGTAGCACACAGTAACTTTTCACCTCAGCAGTGAGAGACATATAACTTAGGAGACATAGAAATGAACAGGAATAGATTGAAATAAAGTTTAACACGTTACGCTATACGCTGTCAGTATCAGCGAAATTTTTATTCCCGTAATTTTTTTAAATCGCGTTTTGAGCATTTGAGCGCGGCATAGTTGAGCTGCCCACCCCCGATTACTCTCTTTAGACAACCCATACCCTGGGCCAGGAAGGTCAAGTACCTGGGCGTTACCCTGGATGCATCGATGACATTCCGCCCGCATATAAAATCAGTCCGTGACCGTGCCGCGTTTATTCTCGGTAGACTCTACCCCATGATCTGTAAGCGGAGTAAAATGTCCCTTCGGAACAAGGTGACACTTTACAAAACTTGCATAAGGCCCGTCATGACTTACGCGAGTGTGGTGTTCGCTCACGCGGCCCGCACACACATAGACACCCTCCAATCCCTACAATCCCGCTTTTGCAGGTTAGCTGTCGGGGCTCCGTGGTTCGTGAGGAACGTTGACCTACACGACGACCTGGGCCTCGAATCAATTCGGAAATACATGAAGTCAGCGTCGGAACGATACTTCGATAAGGCTATGCGTCATGATAATCGCCTTATCGTTGCCGCCGCTGACTACTCCCCGAATCCTGATCATGCAGGAGCCAGTCACCGTCGACGCCCTAGACACGTCCTTACGGATCCATCAGATCCAATAACCTTTGCATTAGATGCCTTCAGCTCTAATACTAGGGGCAGGCTTAGGGACCCCGGTAACCGTACTCGTCGAACTCGACAAAGAGGTCGACGTGCAACCTAACCCATGCATCAGCCCGCTGAGTTTCTCGCCGGATCTTCTCAGCGGGTCGCGATTCCGATCCGGTAGTAGATTCATTCGCGAAACAATTGCTCTTGAGTTGTTAGGTCTCCTTCGGAGGCGCTCGGGCAGTTGTTAGCAAATCCCACCCCTCTTGGCTGAGCCTTTGCTCGCCCACCTGTCCTGGTGAAACTGGAAAGGCCTTCGGGCCACCAGTAAACTTTCAATCATAAAAAAAAAAAAAAAAAAGTTGAGCTGCTGAGGTGAAAAATAATTATTCGCTTTACACTCTTATTATGCGTCAATTAAATAAATTATTCGCTTTAAGAGATGATTCTCACTAAATAATATATTTTTATGAATAAAAGCAAAATAAATTACTTACACTGCTGGCATACTGAAGCTATAACCGAAAATACCGCATACTGAACCATTGATGGACGTTGCTCCACAATAGCCGACATAATTAATAATATTGCACAAAGTGTAGAGACCGCTATGAAGCACAACCACGCCCCGTTGCTTAGAGGTCTCAAAAACTGGTTCTCCAATTTCCCTGGACCTTTTGTTGGGATGCGGTAGTAGTATCTAGTCCTTAAGATACAAAATCACTTTAAATAGATTTTAAAAAAGATAAAAAAAGATTCTTTAAAAGCAAGGATGGAGAAAAAATAACTACGATGGGCAGGAAGTTTCACCCTCTATTTGATGATAGACTGTTGATGATGCCTATAGACACCACAATGTGGCTGTCGCTTCCTGCCTTACGGTATGTGAGCATTAAACAGAAACACAACAGTAAGGCATGACAGAAGTAAGCAAGGAGGATATATCAACTCACACGAATATGTGCAATTTTACATATTAAATGTATATTTTGCGGCTTAAATTCTTAATATGTGATGTTAATGCTTTACATTGTGGTTTCTAAGCAGTTGCTCGAGAAAGCTCACAGCAAATAATTTTACTTACTCTATAGAAGTAATAGGAGGATGAATTACTTCTAATTTGTCGCTTAGATAAGCCAAATACCGAATTATAGGTGAAATATCTTGTTCTCTAAAATAAAGCGAATTCGCCACAACCTGAAAACAGATGAAGTAATTTTAGTGGAGACCTGGGAGTACGGAGACATTTTAGAGATTAACTGTGAGTTGGGGTATTGTTTAACTCTATAGGTCTCTGCATCCACACGGAGAGGAAGGGTAAGGCCTGCGCCAGCGCAGGCTGACGACATCCGTTCGCCACTTGCGAAGATGGTGGACGAGTGGCCGGCGCTGCCACGGGCTAGGATTGTGGAGCCGCCTCTTTCGCCCCCGCGTGCTGCGGGGTCGCAGAGGCCAAACAATATGGCTGCTGGGATGGGGGGGGTGGATGACTGCCTCCCAAGCAGAGAGGAAATTGTGGCCTGCATCTCGCGGGCGGTGGCGGTTGAGGTCGGCAAGCACTTTGCCGGCCTCGAGGAGATGCTCCGCTCCTCAATTCGTTCCGGAGACTGCATCCCGGTGCCAACAGCCGCGGTCAGCCCGCGGGATCGGGCCGCCCGGCCGACCTCCGCTCCTNGCTCACAGCCCACCTGGTGTTAAGTGGTTACTGGAGCCCATAGACATCTACAACGTAAATGCGCCACCCACCTCGAGATATAAGTTGTAAGGTCTCAGTATAGTTACGGCGGAAATAGGCGGGGTGGTGGTACCTACCCGTGCGGACTCCCAAGAGGTCCTACCACCAGTGAATCTGACGTGAAGCAGTAATGCGTTTCGGTTTGAAGGGTGGGGCAGCCGTTGTAACTATACCTGAGACCTTAGAACTTATATCTCAAGGTGGGTGGCGCATTTACGTTGTGGATGTCTATGAGCTCCAGTAACCACTTAACATCAGGTGGGCTGTGAGCTGGTCCACCCATGTAAGCAATAAAAAAAAAACTTAATTTTTACTGAGTCTCAACCTGCGAATTTTAACGAAAAATCATCTCCAGGACCGTTCGTAAGGAGATCTGGTGGCTTTTAAAAGTTCGGCTAAAACCGCTTTAGACTCTTAGATCCAAGTTGCAAATAAAATTAATTATGGTGACTATTTTGTTTCGAAACAAGATCCCACGATCGAGAGATATATCTGATGCAGTGAGGTCAATAATACGTTAGATATCTCAAGATACATACCCTACTGCTGTTCTTCTCAAAAGTTCCTATCCATCGATCGGTGATTGTGTAATTAAATCTGAAAACCAAAAATTTCGTGACATCATCATCAGGCTATCCACGAAATTAATATTGCAATGTCTTGCATCGGTGCAGAATCAGCAATGTAAGCTACTCAACAGTTAGGTATGACACTTCCTGTCCCATCTGAAGCGAAACCCGGAGACGTTTTACTGCTCTTGTGAGTCGGTGCGGGTAGGTACCACCACCCAGCTTATTTCTGCCGTGAAGCAGTAATGCGTCTCGGTTTGAAGGGTGGGGCAGCCGTTGTAACTATACTGAGACCTTAGAACTTATATCTCAATGTGGGTGGCACATTTCCGTCGTAAGATGTCTATGGGTTCCAGTAACCACATAACACCAAGTGGGCTGTGAGCTCGTCCACCCACTTAAGACATAAAAAAAAACGTGGCAATTTACCTTTTTTTTTTTTGTTGCCTTTGTAGGCAGACGGGCATACGGCCCACCTGATGGTGAGTGGTTACCGTCGCCCATGGACTTTAGCAATGCCAGGGGCAGAGCCAAGCCGCTGCCTACCGCTTAATACTCTCCACAAGCCTCGTTTGAAGAAGGACATGTCATAGCGCTCGGGAAACACCGTGGAGGGGAGCTCATTCCATAGCCGGATGGTACGTGGCAAAAAAGATCTCTGGAAACGCACTGTGGATGACCGCAGTGGCTCCAGGTAGTATGGATGAACTCTACTCCGGTGGCGGGCGGTGCGATGGTAAAAACGAGATGCTGGTATCATCTCGAACAATTCCTCAGAGCACTCCCCATGGAACATACGGTATAAAATACAGAGGGAACCGAAGTCCCTCCGCAAACCTGAAGTTATGTAGTTCGGCAATTTCGTGTACGACTATTGAAGATATCTTCAAGACGGTCACTACGCCTGGCGTCGGCGTAGTGTCTTGTAATTTCAAAGATTTCGGATCAAATTTCCGAGGTGGAGGTGAAATCTGGAAATCGCAATGGGATCCTTTGTAGTAAATTCCGATTGTGAGCTTGCAACTATGGTCTGCTCTGAATTTATGGTCTGGTATTAATGTTTGTCATTGTAGTTTAATGTCAATCGATTTTGATACGGAAGCTTTAAGTTAAAAGCTCTTTGGCACTTACAACAAGAATCATTCTTAACGCCATTTCGTTGAAGTCCCAACGATCGTAGTATTTGAATTTATTTAAACTTGAGAAAACACCTGCACAATGAAAAAATCAGATGAGTATGCGATATCTATCATAGAATAGAGGAAATCCGGTATAAACCCAAATCGCACAAAGGACAATATCAAAATCATCTTGTATACGTCATGATATAAACAACAATATTTGGTGGCTTTACAGAAAACCTTATCCTTCTCATTCCTTAAACACGTAAGGTAAGTGTGCATTATTTAGTAGAAATATCATCATATTTGGATATCATCATGTTATTAAACACCTGCACTGTTCCACATCCCAATTTCTTTGACGATTAAACTGCCACCTTGAATTTTTCCATAATTGAAAACGTCGTATAAAACAAAATCTACAGCACCTAAAACATCAATCATTATATTAAATTTACTTGTAAATAGAAAGCGTCTCCTAGAATCGCGTATGATACATGTCTTCCTTTAAATATTTGGAATCTTAAGAAGGAATCGTAATTATGAAAAGTACATTTGTTTTCGTTTTAACTGGTCTACAATGGGATGGCTATCTGGTGGTTGCTGGCCCAGAGACATGAGGTCTAATTGTCAGATGTATAATATTACGCAACGTGGGACGCCCCGTAGCTAGGCGATGGGATGGTCTACAAACGGTGGTCCGCAAGAAGAGAATGAGGAGATCCGAAGACCGTGCTCAGTGGTGTGGATTGGGTGAGACCTTTGTCCAGCACTTGACAACTGTGGGCTGATAATGAAGTTAATGATGATGATAATATTACGGTTGTCTGACACCCTTCAAACTACTACCCACTACTGATTCGCGGCAAAAATCGGTAAGACGGTGGTACCTCCTCTTGCAGGCTTATAGACCGCACTACCACAAGCAAATTACGTAATTCATAGTTTTGATGGGTTCAATTCTTAATAGACGATGATATTTCTCTATCGTGGAAATTATTCGAGAGCTGGATATGCATTCCATTAAAAAAACTGGCATCTGTCTAAGAGATTTGAGCATCGACATTTTTGCATTTTTTTGCTCGTCTTATCCATTGGGTCACGATGACTAGTAGATAAAAATTATTCCTAAATTGACTACAAAGTTTGGTGGATGTAAAAGTATAAGTCGCAAGAATTGATTACATAAAGAAGTTTCAGAGGGTGTCCACAGCAAACGCGAACAAGGTCTATTTACATCTAAAGCTGAAGTTGAACCAGTGACATATCGTCTTCTCGCATTAAAACTGTATAACCTCAAAACTTACTAATTTTACAGGAGAGTGTTTTAAAGGTTTAACATGTGATATTTTTAATATTAATCATCTTTGCAACACTTATTTTTTAATTTTTACCAGATACATTATCTGTCTGTTAAAGTAAGATCAAATTATGTATTAAATTTGTTAATAGTAGTCAAAATATAGATAAACTAAAACTAAACTACGCTCTTTTGACAGTATTTATGAGAAAAATACTTGGTGATACCAAATGATTCCGCATATTAACTCAATTTCGAATATTTTTGGAAATTGATTAGCTTTTACGAAGTCTTGCATGAATATTTAGTTTTAGCTTTTATACCTTTCATGAACATGCAAAACCGTATAGCAACACACGGAAGTTAACTTCCGCTCTCATTCGACTTTACACAGTGGGTTTGCGAATGCGCATTCTTTTCAGATCATTAACATAGGGCGTCGTTGGATTTTCAGTCACATCGTATTGTTTTCAAAATGTATTGTTTAAATTTTGTAAGAAAATTGTCGTATCATTATTACCTTTCTGTAAAGCTACTTTGATATCGGCGTCTATACTCAAATTTAGGGTTTCAAGGGTCTTCATTATTCTAGCATCAGACACGAGCGCAGTTCCATTCTTGAGTGCATTATTGTAACTAATAGTCTCAATGATAGTTTCGTTTTTATTTAAATATAATCCTTCTTGTCTCGGGTAATCAATAGCATTTTTACATTCAATGATTAGCCATTTTTTATTTGCGGCGAAATGTCTGTTGTTTGATGCCTTTAAAAAAAAGGTGTATGGATTAATTTTTACCCTTTTCATCGGATATAAGTATTCGACTATCAGATACTTGTAGTTCCTGAAACTATACGATTTGATATTTTTTTGTCGAAAATTTTCGTCGTATTCCTGCGATCTATGTCGGTATCCCCAAGGTTGTAGTTTTTGGAAGTGATTCCTTAGCCGTAAGTGCCATTTTTTTTTATTCCTTAGATGGGTGGACGAGCTCACAGCCCGCCCGGAGTGGTTACTGGAGCCCATAGACATCTACAACGTAAATGCGCCACCCATCTTGAGACATGACTTCTAAGATCTCAGTACCGTACAACGGCTGCCCCGCCCTTCAAACGAAAACGCAATTCACGGCAGAAATAGGCAGGGTGGTGGTACCTACCCGTTCGGACTTACAAGAGGTCCTACCACCAGTAATCTACACTCGAGATGCCAACCTCAACGTCTGTTGTATTTGCGCATCATATATACTTACAAAATTAAGAACATCATCAGTTCCTTCACAAGAAACATCTAAAACAATCCCAAGCGACCAACTAGTGTATCTCAAGCATTTGTCTAAAGCACTGTAGTCGGTTTTCTTGGCCAGATCAAGCAATGAAAAGCCAATGGACATATTCATTAGTGTTTTTCCCAAATTCTTTGCCCCTAGAAAATTAAGTTTATGATTAACAATATTCGTTTCAAGACCCGTTGGTAGATTTTTTTTTTATTGCTTAGATGTGTGGACGAGCTCACAGCCCACCTGGTGTTGAATGGTTACTGGAGCCCATAGACATCGATTATAGACTTAATATATTCGAGACCCATAGACATCTACAACGTAAATGCGCCGCCTACCTTGAGATATAAGTTCTAAGATCTCAGTATAGTTACAACGGCTGCCCCGCCCTTCAAACCGAAACGCATTACTGCTTCACGGCAGAAACAGGCGGTGTTTGCAGAAATAGGCGGATGTTTGATGTAAAGAAGGTAAATTGATAATATAAAATCCTTCTGTTTTTAAGTGCTTACATATTTCACTCGCACAGTTCAGAAGGCAAACGGACTTAATATTCTGATTACTAAAATAGTCCACGATCAATTCTGAAATAATATTCGCTCCAGAAATGGCCGACAATAAAGAAATTATTGCAAAAAAATGCACGTCCATTTTGCTGTCACTGCAGGATTTAACTAACCAATGTTATAGATGTCAATCGTTTGTTATATGGCTTGGAAATAACAGCTTGAATATATAAAGTAGCATCGCGGTGAAAATTCTCATGCTCTTTGAATTTAGTAAATGTAATCTATACATATAAATAATAATAAATAATAAATAAATATTTACTAACAATCACGCCACGTTAACTGGTCCCGTGATAAGATCGCAAAGAACTTGTGTTACAGGTACCAGATAACGGAAATAAATGTAAGATTTTTATTATACACATACATATATTTAAGATATATCCATAACCCTGGAAAAGACATTTATATTTATCATACAAATATCTCCCCTTGGCGGGATTCGAACCCGCGACCCCCTTGTGTAGTGACCATGTCACTTACCACTACACCAGACGGCCGTTAATAATTAATAATAAAATAAATAAAATTGGAATGTCTGTTTGTAATATAGAAATAGCCTCTTTTTACTACATGCATATGAAATATATACGGTACATGCACCAAAATAACATTTTTTACAATTTTTGTCTGTCTGTCTGTTTGTTTCCGCTAATCTCTGGAACGGCTGGACCAATTTTGACGGGACTTTCACTGATAGTTAGCTGATGATATAAGGAGTAACTTAGGCTACTTTTTTTAGACTAGCTTCGCCTCGCGGCTTCACCCGTGGTACGACAATAGCCGCGGGTAGCATCGCGGGACTCAGCTATCAATAATAAAATTTAATGTTTCCGAAGCGAAGCGAGGGCGGGTCGGTAGTATAGTTAATAATAATTAATTATCATGTTATTTTTCTTTCATTCTTTGATTTTCTGCTGCTGACAATTTTCCATTTTCAGTTTGTATGTTTTTTTTTATCAAGGGGCTTAATCTGGATTTTCGTTTTGTATTAATCCCAACAGAACAAAGTGATCGTTAACAAGCTTAAAAGCTTTGTCGCTTGTACATCCGAAGTGATTGGATAAGCTTTTTTTTTAATTCGCATAGATATGTGAACGATCTCACCAGTCGGTTTGGTGAAAAATGGTTACAGGAGTCGTCTATATTGAATATTGAATTTTTGGCATTGAATTAGCCGTCCCGTTCTTCAAATCGCAACGTATTATTGCTTTGTGGTAGAATAAGGCAGTATGTGTGTGGGAATACCACCCGCTCTACCACCAGTAAATGTCGATTGGTGATCTCTGCGCGCTGTTGTAATACTCAGAGAATGCTGTTGCCCATTCTCCAATGTATCGTTTAATTACTTTTTGTGATCCATCCGTGAAGATGTTTTTTTTATTGTAGGCCGGCACGACACAGCCAACTTTATTATTAGTCAAGCTCGACCCCTTTGGTTGGAGGTTCTTTGATCTGACCACGATCCCATAGCTAGCAGACTTCACAGAATCACTATGCTAACCGCTATGCTAACTAAAATCGGTCCAGCCGCTTCGGAGTCTACAAAGAATACACACACACACACAGACACAGATAGATAGATAAATAGATAGATACGATCATTTACTGGTGGTAGAACGTCTTGTGAGTCCGCACGGGTAGGCACAACCAGCTTGTCTATTACTGCCGTGAAGCAGTAATGCGTTTCGGTTTGAAGGGTTGTGCAGCCGTTGTAACCATACTGAGACCTTAGAACGCATATCTCATGGTGTGTCGCAGCATTTACGTTGTAGATGTCTATGGGCTCCGTTAACCACTTAACAACAGGCAGTGTGAGCTCGTCCATTCATCTATACAATAAATAAATAAAAATGAGTTTTATTGGTAATGGGTTATTTTACCCCCTAGGCTAATAGATATCGGGCTAATGAGACACCGCACCTTTCACCACGTGAAAGTTTTAAATTTTAACGTCACTTTAACAAATATAACTAAATCTGTACACAATATAATTATCTTTTACATCAAAATGTCAGCAGGAAAAATTTAATCTAAAAACAAATTTTCTGCTCGTCATTACGTATAATGTGAAAGTTAATGAAATTCGTTTGAGCATCGCAGATCTGACAAGAAACACAAACAAACAAGTAAATTACGATTTGTAAATGTTCTTTATCATAATAAATGGGATTGCAGATAGTTAATAAAGTTTGCGCCCACAAGGTAATGCTCGTATAGTTTCAAGGCTTCAATAGATAAATTATTCAGGGATGCGCGATATTTGCAATGATTGGACTAAAGCAAACGACAGTTTAAGCCCTAAAAGTGTTTTGTGATCATCATTAAATTGTCTTTACTTCGGCTTCTGTGAGTCGCAGACGTAATTAAAATAACTTTCAAGGTTTATTATCGAGTATTTCAATTCTTACCGCCTTATTATCCGGCCATACTAAAACCCGAAGATTCATAGCCTGTCATTTCGGATCCTCCCGATCCACTAATTGTGCTTTTGGGTACCGCAAGCACCGGTCATCGTTCTTGACGGTTGAGACGAAGGGCTCGACGAGTAAATTAACCCACAGACACAGCCCACTGAGTTTCGCGCCGGATCTTCTCAGCGGGTCGCGTTTCCGATCCGGTGGTAGATTCTGCGAGGCACGGCTCTTGCTAGGGTTCGTGTTAGCAGCGTCGTCAGGTTTGAGTCCCGCGAGCTCACCTACTAGTTAAGGTTACGCTGAATTAGCCAATCAAGGCTATTAGCTTAGGTAGGAAAAAAATCATAGCGGTCTCTAGTCTCTAACTCTGAAGAACACTAGAAGAATCTTCAGTTGTAATTCTGATGCTTAGCTTCATCCAGATTACCCTGGATTAATGAGAGCCTTCACCGGGATAAGTCGGAATATAGTGTGTCTATAGGGTTCACATTTTTTGAAGCATCTCTTACATTTTACAACTACTTAGTTTGTTATTCGCCTCCTCGACTCGTTATCCGGGATAGACGAGGACCGTGAACGGTTTTCAAAATACCGTTTCATTGGCGGCGAATACAGTACCGCTGAGCTTGTTTATAGCAACCATGCTTTGTGTGTATTTTTGGATATTTTTTATAAATATATAGCTATTTATTTTACTGTTAATCTCTGGACGTGACACTATTTACATAATGATATAACTAAATATATATTTTTAAATCTAATAACCTAAAATAGGGTGAGTATGCTGGTACCGTAAATCGAATTACGTATATAGCGCAATATGTCAAGGGCACACACAAAAAAGTATATTTATGAAATGTACTTAAAGAAAGATTATTTTAGACGACCGGTGGTACTTAACGAATTTGAAGATATGTGCACTTGGCGCAATATGTTGCAGTTCGCAATAGCCACGAAGAACTGTCTCGATAGCTATCATACAACACAAAGCTTTTGAAGGATGTCTGAATATCCCTAACGACATTTTCAAGATAAGTTTGCATATGTAAAAGTTCCGAACAACAACATTCGGACCGTCGCCGCGTCGCTCTACCGAGCAATATCACCCGCTTGGTGGAAGGCCTTCCCTTTCTCGTTAAACCTTCCAAATTGGCGGGAATGGCCAAAAGAACCAGTCTGAAACAGATCTTTATTTGATTTTAAAGTAAATGTCCTCATTAATTCCTAAACGATGAGCACTGCGTTTTGGATGGGTCGACGTCGAGGATTCCATTTGTATTTGGACTAGTTTCAACATGGATTCCTTTCTCCGCTGCCGAACTAAAAACTCCATTAAGCCTTAATTCTGAAGTTGACACAATTGTTAACAGCATTACGTCGCTCGTCTGAAAGTCGCCATTTTGTCAAAGGTTTCTTATCATCTATACTAATACTAAAAAGAGGAAAGATTTGTTTGTTTGTTAGGCTCCGAAACTACCGAATCGATTTGAAAAATTCTTTCACTGTTTGGAAGCTACACTATTCCCGGCTGACCTAGGCAATAATCTTTTTTGAAAAAAAATTAGACATTTACATATAAATAATATTATATGTAATTTTTTTTACACCTTGGGTTACATTATTGGAGTTTTAGTAAGGATCCCTAATTTTTTTTCAAAAAAGATTTACATATAAATAATATTATATGTAATTTTTTTTACACCTGTCGAGTGCGCTGCGAAATCTATTGATGATAGAATAAAGTAATGTACTACGACTTTGTAGAACACATTATTATTTACAAAAAGTGTCGCGACAGCATATGTCTTACTATTATACTTGTGCCGCAATAGGTGTTCTTTTATTTAAAAAAATAAAACTACGTCAAATATAATTGAAATTTTTGTTAAAGACCCGAGCGGAGCCGGAGCGGGCCGCTAGTTTGTTATAAATTTGCAGGATAAGCTTGGTGTAACGAATGAAAAAACGGTTTTCTATTGAGAGCAAATGATAAGACAGGTATTTAAATGAAAGGCCAAAGGAATTTAAGTCATATGATGTAGAACACGATGACGATGGTGGTGTTTTTTTTTTATTGCTTCGATGGGTGGAAGAGCTCACAGCGTACCTGGTGTTAAGTGGTCTCTGGAACCCATAGACATTTACAACGTAAATTCGCCACCCACCTTGGGATATAAGTTCTAAGGTCTCAGAATAGTTACAACGGCTGCCCCACCCTTCAAACCGAAACGCATGACTACTTCACGGCAGAAATAGACAGGGTGGTGGTACCTACCCGCGCGGACTCACAAGAGGTCCTACCACCAGTAATAGTGGTCCTACCACCAGTAATGTGGAATAAAGATGATCGTGATGTGGAATCTGGCCTTTTTTATTTTACTTTTATTGTCCTTATAGGCAGGCGAGTATGCGGTCCACTTGATGGTGAGTGGTTACCGTCGCCCATGGACGTCAGTAATGCCAGAGGCAGAGCCAAGCCGCTGCCTACCGTAAATCCTTAGGCATATTCAGCAAACTTTTTGAGCACTAACTCTTACTGATGGTAGGACGTCTTGTGAGTCCGCACGGGTAGGTAACACCACCCTGCCTATTTCTGCCTCGAAGCAGTAATGCGTTTCGGCTTGAAGGCTGGGGCAGCCGTTGTAACTATACTTGAGACCTTAGA